GGAATTTCTCCAAAAACTGTCATCAAATTGCCAATCTTAATATGAGAGAAGGGAAAGTAATTAAATGTCTTGAGAGTAATCATGCTGTTTTAAAATTAGTCTAAGTTTAATTAAATCACAATTAGTTTTTAACCTAGTCTCCATGCTTCTTATTGTCCTTTTTGAGTTTGGCTATCAACATGACACCAACAGATGAAGCTGGTCACTAGTCCAAACAAAGTTGCATAGTGCTACATTATGGCATCTATGGGTCATTTTTAGGAAACAATACAACAGGGCTTCTAGGATTGTCTTCTTTGACATTAATCCCACTGAATATAATTCAGCCAACAAATTACACCATGCCTCTGCCAGAGAAGGCTTCCCACAACAGTTTCCAAAGTAACACAAGGAAGCATTATCAGAAAAAGACGGATACGATCAGAAAGTTCATTGACATTATTTGAGAAATGAATACATTTAAAACAAATCTTTGGATTACAGCCAATGCAGAGATATATCCTTTGAATAGAATAGTTCCTCAGCTCCCAGATTTAGTTTGCATAAATTTAGTTGCTCTTTGTGTACAGATTTGCATGGTAGTTTAAGTTCCAGTTTTCTATTTAGTACCTGATATTGGATGCCATAACTCATTTCCTCACTTATTCTCTGTTGATTAAAATGACATTCTAACTCCCTATTTGCCACTGCTAAGCCCACAGACACCACTTGAGTAATACTCTTCTTCCTCCTAGCATTTGTGCAGCTTGGTTGCAAGGTCACTTGTTTTGCACTGTGCTAACTTTAGTTCACATAGCAAAGCCTATCAATGCATATCAAGACATCATTTGTGTAAAGTCCCACTTACATATCAGAGGGAATGCCTTCAGAGAGACGTAGCCTTATGATCTGCAACCCAGAATATTATAAAGGAATAAGAGTATTAAATATATATTTACATTTCCATGTACATGTTTCCTAAATTTTAAGATGATTATATAATAGCATGTTTAATCCTTAACTGCCGTCTTTCAGTATCATACAATTAATTTTTAAATAATAGGGCTGAATTTTGCTTATTTTGCTTCCCTTCAAAGCTTTTGTCACACACATAAATTTTAGATAGTTATATAAAAATCTATTGTAGTTACGTATATTATATAGTCATCAAATTGCCATGTTAATGAGCCAGAAGGTAAAATTATTAAATATTTTAGCCCAGACAGGAAAATAATGGGACCACTGCACCCCTTCCCCCACTGCCTGCTGAACAGAACATAGAGAAATCCAGAAGTTAGTATTTGTTGCCCATGAAAAGGAAGGAAGGAAGGAAGGAAGGAAGGAAGGAAGGAAGGAAGGAAGGAAGGAAGGAAGGAAGGAGGGAAGGAAGTTCTGATTCAACTTAGGCTATGTCCAAATAGGGTGTAGAAGGACAAGCTCCACAAAGGAAGAAGACAAGAGATGATAGAAAAAGCCCTACAGTCAGACCCACCCACCCTATTCTGGGTGCAGTACTGTGACTGGCAGATGGCTCTCCCACTGGCTGGAGATGTGCTGAACAAAGAGGGCAGCAAAGCCAGAAAATTCAACCAATTCAGTTATAGTCCCACCAACCATGTATAATCCAGATCATATCATTCCACCATGATGCAGAACAAGGCAACAGAGGCGGGATAGGGACTGGCAATGAGGACAGCAAATTTCATATGAGTATTGTTTTCTGTCAACTCAAGGATCAATGGAGAACACTTTAACTCAGCACTGGTGAAAAACCCTTCCATCAGCAGTTATGACAGCCAATTATTTCCATTGACTGTGGAGTCCTTGGGGTTCTCTGAGCTTGGTTCTTTTCTTGTAAATGTTTCATTACCCG